TATTGCCAAATATTTAAAATTTTATTAAAATATATATTTTTTGAATTTACTGGTCCAAACATGTTTAAAACTAATCTGATGTACGCGTGACGCAGTCTAAAAACCAACGCCCATCGTAGAGCCCTGATAAGTCCACTATTATTGACTTATATCGGACTCCCAGGAAAACTAGTTATCAGGGCATTTATGATGATTATAGTGCCTCATTACTGGCCACAAGTATTGTAACATAAATTAAAAATTATTTAATTTAAAACAACTAATTATTTCCTTATTAAAGGCATAACTGATACTAAACGTGGAGATAATAAACGGCTAATTGTATTGACATTCGTATTGATTGTCATGTTTTCGTCATTTACGGCAATATTTGGTACGGTTTTGATGTGTATTATAAAACCCGGTGTTAGGGTTATGTCGACTGATAGTGAACTGGTAGTAGACAATAGTGGAGACCCTGGTGTTGATATCAAACAAATGATTGCGAGTCAGGACGAGAGTATATACGATGTGTTTATGTATGTATTTCACAGAATATTCTGAATATAAAACCATAAATATATTAAAAGTTTGTATGAATTCATAGGAATCTCATACCGGATAACATAATCGCCGCCACATTTAGCACTCATTACACGGCACTCGTGCCCATCGACTCCCATAACCTGACCCTTGGGTACAAAAAACTGGCCAAAAAGGCGTTCAAACCAAATATGTTAGGGTTGTGTGTATTCTCACTAATACTGGGTTTCGCTGTCAAACAGTTGGACCCAAAGGCCGACACTATTCGCCGGGTTTTAGTCGAGACTAACGATATAGTGATGCATATAATCATGATTTTAATTAAGTATAAAATAATTAATTTTTAAAAATATTTTAATTTTTAAATATATTTGTAGAGTAATGCCGATCGGAATTTTATTACTTTTTGTCAGAATTATAATATAAATTATTGACCAAGTATAGAATCTATAATTTATCACCATCACCCTTTTGCCATTTGTATTTGATTTTAATATTGAAGGTTTAATTACAATGTGTACCATATATGGGAGAACAGTAAAAAACTGTATATAATATATATAAAATAATTTATTTTATTTAATTATACTAGTAATAAATAATTGAATATATTAAATAATTATAATATAAATAAACAAAAAATTCTATTATAAAGTTATTAATGTAATTTAAAACATTTTTAATAATATGTGGTAATTCTACACTATAGAATATACAGTATGATTACTATATATAAAATAAATTTAATTGATATTTATATCATAAAATAGGATAATGATATGTAATAATATGTAACTTTGGTTTGTACTGTATAGCCATATAATTGACTCTCAATATGTTCGGTAATCTTAAGTTAATATCAAAACATTTCACACGTATTCGACCTTTGGGTGCAAAAACTGGTGATTTTATATTTACAAAAGATATCTCTATTGTCTCCAATATATTGTACAAATCTGTATAATAAATTCAATTTTATGACATAATAACCGTTGAATGGTTTATTTATTATGAGCGAATTTTATGCCGGATTATATTATATTACATATTAAAATATAGAAGAGTTTTATTATAAATATAAGTTGTAACATCTTAGGCAAATCATTTGAAATACAAATGTAGACTTTTATAAAATCATTGTCTTATTTATCATAAAAGGTTAATAAAATGTCTGTGATTACACAAACAATGTTTTCAGCTCCATCAAGCAACATTTCGGATTATCAAATGTAAGTATTTTATTTAATTCATGTATATTTTTAATATAATTTATACAGTACTATATATTTTATCTTTTGATTTTTAATTATATTCTATGTTTCAAAGTATTAATAATTTTATTTTTTGCAATTTTAAAGTGTACCAATTTGTGAGTTAAAACCACCAATGAATATATTTGTCATAATATGCATTTCATTGCAAATAATGAGTTGTCTCTCAAATATAATATGCATTCGAGTGGTTAGGAGCCGACACTACCACTCATATACAAGTCGACCCAAACTATTGATGGCAAACATCGCTGTTTCAGATATAATAATCATAATTAACTCAGTCTTACCCCGGTACGGTATAAACAGCGTATTGGTGGCAAATGGTAACCACTTATCGGCACATATTGTCCAATCAATTCACAACTATTTAGAAAATATATCCCTATATGTCATGTCATTTACATTCACAGTCATAGCATGTGATCGATTCTATGCAATCGTCAAAGTACTTGACAACCCTTTTGACAAAATTCACACAAAAGCAATCATTTACGTGATATGGATGCTAAGTATTGTACTGTCGGCGCCCGATGTTTTCACCAGTAATATAGACTATTTTGTATATAAAAACACATCAGTTATGTGTCTCAATGATAAGAGCTATTTAGGAATCGATGCCATGAATTCTGATACATTGTTTACCACAATCAAAGTTTTAGCTATAATATTGGAATTCCTAATACCAGGTGTTGTGGTCAGTTGGTATTCAGGCAAAATTATATTTAGACTATTTGATGAATATAGGAGATTTGTTAGATCCAGTTTCACAGTACCAACCACTCAATTGTTTAATCATAACTTTCATAGATGTGAAGTTACTAAACGACTAATTACTGTATTATTTATATTTATACTCAAAAACATAGCTTTTATTGCAATTACAATAAAAATAACGTATAATTCATGTCCAGAATATGATTATTACGTTCATTTTGCATTCACTGAGATATTCCGGGTCACGACTTCATTGAATAGTATTATATTCTTTTGGTTGAGTCAAGAATTTCGCAAACAGTTTATGATTGTAGTTATGGGCAGAAAACGGACGAGTAGTTCACGATCATTGGTTAGCATTGCTGAAAGTGATGACCAAAATATGGGTGTATTTTGTTGTTGCACTCAATTTATACGATTCATAATTAGGAGGAATTTGAATGAGAATTCTGAAACACTTTCAAATAATTGTGGACAACGTATCAGAGACCTTGAAACTATTTCCCAAACTCTATCTGTTGCTTAAGTATAGATTATTTTTAATTATGGTAATTATTATTTGTCAATAACTTGAAAATTCAGTTTAGCAGTACATCAAATCTATATTCAATAAAATGATTAGTTATTGAAATGATATCCCATTTAATAACTTTAATGTTTAATTGTTGTATTTAATGTATGTTCAATTCAGTAATTATTAAAATTTTATCATTTATCATATAAATAATTAAATTAATATATAAAATATCATTGTAAATTCACGAAATAAAATGTATTTGTTTATTCAAATGTCTATCTTTTGTAAATAAGTGATGAATATTACAAAAATAAAAATTATTATAATATTTTCTAAGTGATTATGCATTACTATCTTTATTATTAAAAAACGAATTTCGTGAGAAACCCGGAATAAAAATTTACTAACTTACTTATACATAATAAATTGTGCAAAAATAATAATAAAAGATTTATATTACATTTTCTAGATGATTGCACTTCAGATATAAAGAATCCTATTTGCATTTATCTTAATTATGACTAATATTTTGTGAAATATATTAAATAATCTTTTTTAATTCTTCAACAATTTACATTTTATTTGATATAACAGAAATTAATTAGTTAAAATATGCATAGTGTAATTTCCAAAATATTTAAAATTGTTTTTAAAATATAAAATTTATAATAATACTGTATGAATTTTAAAATTAGAGTTAGGCTTACGCAAAAACAAAATCTTTATTTGATTTCATAACTCAT